TATATATATATATACACACACACACACACACATTCAGAAAGTGGTGAACCTGCCCGTCGCATACCCCGGGGATTCGTGCATACCGAGCCTAGCGGGGTCCCACATTGTGTCGAAACACATTAGTGTTCAACATAGTGAAGGATGTCAGGTCGCTCGTACCAAATTTATTTAGACGTGGGCGCCAAGCGCGATTATAACCTTGCTCCTGCGCCAACTCTACAGCTCTCAAGTGGTGAGTCACTTTGGGTCGGAATGATGCGCATGCTCTTAACATATCACTTTCAATTGATGGTTTAAGTATTGTACGTCAGAATAGTTGCCATACATTCGTTAAAAAAGACACTATTCTATTGCATGGTCATTTAATGCCTTTGGAATTACTCAATTCCCTTCTTCGTCCACTAGCGTGACAGTCTTATCATTCTGGAGAGGGGCCTAGAGTTATGAAGTTACATCGCTGTAGAGAATTGCTTGTCGCCGTCCTCAAATCGCGCATCTTGTGATGGCGCTAGAGGTGAGGCGGCATTGCAAGACGAAGGGTTGGCGCGAGCTCTCGGCGCCCTGGCGCGGTCCTGCATTCGAAGCACGCGCCGATGACTGAAGGCCCTCGCTCTCGTACCGGCGACGAAGGTGTGTGTTTTTTCGCTGGGTGAGTCATACGTCACCCATCCGCGTCGGAATGCTCGTCGCGGCAGGTTGCTCCCAGTGACAAGTGCTTTTCGGAGGTTCTGGCTTTCATTTGCAGAACGAAATAAATCCCGTTGACGTGGTTATTTTGCTTCATAACAAATAATGGACCGGTTCCAGATAGGAAGGCATCCGGTGCAGCATAAACTTTGTAGCTTTCAAGTAGCCATTGATTTCTAAGTTATCTTTAAAGAAATGCGTCTTTGTTTGCGATCTGTGAAATCAAAGAGCCTCTCTCGATGGATTTCCGACAGCATCTTCTCTCTAATCTCTGCCCTATGCTACCATTCTTCTATGTAGTTGCCCTCTGGTGAGGTGCGTGTCGCCCTGTTGGTTCGCTTATCTACTTCTAGGATATTCAATGGGGTTGTATATGTCAATTCGTCGGCCCAGTTACCTCTTTGATGATCTGTATAATCTGATCGTTTCAATAGGTTGTCTTTGTTTAGCTACTGTAAACGGTAGGAGGCCGGGGAAGGGGGCATGTGCTGGGAGCCGGAGGTGGGGTGTGTCTATATTATTTGTGGCAAGTGAGAGGGTGGCTTTGGAAGAGCGATTCTGTCGCCCTTTGCCGAGTTTTACAGGTCTTCATATAATTTTCGGATCAGCTCGTAGCTGCGCGTAGCTAATGTGACGGGGTGGTGGCGGATAAGAGATTTTCGAGGCGCGTGGGCTATGGCAATACCAGACGTGATATAAAATTTTTCGTGAAGGATAAATAACTAAAAAGATAGGGAACCAATTTTTGCTAAAGTATTTACACGACTTAAAAAGCCCTTCAACTCGTGTAATGCTTATTCAAGCATCTATCAAATCGTGGGTTCTTACATCACAACGATAAAATGAATTTAGTATTCAAATCAATAATCCAATATTTTTCGTTCACATTTAGGTGAGTTTCGAATGGAATATTACGCCTTTGGAAAATAATATGCGCATCTCATTAATTTCTATGTTAACCTCAAATTTCATTCATTTTCAGGTCGTATCTGGTAGAGGAATGTGGGTTGGCAAAACTGTTGGGGGTCCTCCTGGCAGTAAAACCTTTGATAATAATTGTCAGTTTTTGTTTCAAATCGACATTGAAGGTAAGTATTTATAAACATTTATAATAATAATAATTATGATAATAAAACTATTTAAATTGGAATATACAGAATAGATATAATAATGCTCTTATAAAATAACAAGTGAAATGATCAGTGTTAGAGCAGTATAAAAGGAAAATAACTTTTCTTATTTATAAAGACAATAACATGTTATTTTGTTGCACTGTTTTGTGAAGATCACAAATAGATCGCTCATCTGCAGTGTGCAAGTGCGCATCAAGACTATGTAATATGATGAATTTAATTAATTCTTTAATCCAAATAAGATTGAATAATTCCTCAGTAAATGATATAAAAACAAATTGCTCATATGCATTCAGGAACATCTTTAAATACGTTTCCAAGAGAGTGCGTAAATTGCATGATCTTATCTGGCTAGAAATGTACATAATTTATTGTACATTTGAAAATATTAATTAATAAAGCAGATCAAACACACGAAGTTTTATATGTAAAACCAAAGTCACAAAGTAATGGGAACTTCATATCACGATTTCTGTATTAAACACTCTTTTTTATTTCTGTCATTTTATGTCCTTATTTGACTCTGATTCTCCACTTCCTTTAGACAAAGAATCAGTGAAGGGAAAAGTCCCGGTGCTGTTGGAGCTAATTCAAGATTTGCATCGGAAATCCTCCCCATATAAATCGGGAATGCAAATTTACACGGTAGGTTCGAAATATATTTAAACTCTCTTGTATACCCATCCTCAAGTTCGTATCCATCTGAACATTTATCTGAAAATTTAGAATTCGAAATATAGTATCGTTATAATTTATTTTACTTCAGTCTTTTGAACCAAACAATATAACTTTATAAAGAGTTTAAACACGCTTATGATTTTCTCAGGCATTGGAACTACAGATATGGTATAATTTTGTTTTTAGTTTGTTTGTTTTTTTCAGTGAAATATTTTTTTTGGCTATTAAATAAACGCCGATTGAATTGTATTTATTTTATTGTTAAATACAAAGCATATATTTTCGCCTATTAATTAGGTGATTAGGATACTCAATAATGTTCATGTAAAGAGGAGGACAGCCGCAAAAAAATATTGAACACATTTCTCTTTATAAATAGTTAATTTAGACTAGGGTTGGCAACCGTCACTCATTTGGGAGGACAGTCCTTCATTGATGTCAATTGCCCTTTTTTGTATTTTAAATATCTTTTAGTAATTTCTGTCATTTATTTTATCACGTGACTAACATCTGCTACGTTGTATCGTTTATTGTTTAATTTAGTTAGTCCAAGTTTAGACCAAGATTTCAAGATGTTAAAGCGCACAGAATCTCTCAGAAGCAGAAGGATCAGATTATTGATTTTTTTTAATAACGATATTTTAGCGATAAATAAAGGATATTCAAATTGAAATGATGCCACAACTCCATGTCTCTTCCTAAAGTCTCTGAACACTCATATTATGTGGCACAGGACCACTATACCTTCTCGCACGTAATTTTTTATAAACAAAGCGAAGCGAACGAAATATATTTTTGTGATGCGTTTATTCTCATTGACGGCATTTTGTTGCGATCAAATTATTATTGTCACGGAAAATGGAATTATTAAGCGTTCCGTTTTCCTGACGAAAAAATTGGGGGCAGGGACTCAAAATGAAAGACTGTCCCGGCTAGTACAGGACGTGTGGTAACAGTACCCTACGGGGTACATCGGCTGTCTCCTCTATCATGAAAAGAAAAAAATTTTGAATAGTTCTGTGTTTGAGTAGTTAGAGAAAGTAGTTAATAATAAAATGAAAAACAAAATTAATATTTTGGAAGACGATCGTGCCTTCAGCGACGGGTAGCTTTTGAAGGTCCTGGTATTTATAGACATCTACATATAAATGGCATTATTGTTTTTTTACTGGACTCGAAAGTTATTTGGGAAAAGCTGAGAAAGTTATGTTTTTTACATGTTTTGGCTTAAAAAACATGTTTCTTTTCGAAGTTCTTTTTGACTTATCTGAACACTCTCTTTAAAGCATTCAAACTAATACGTGTAACATAAAAGCAAATTAGTGTTCAAATTCGTCATCAACGACAGGTTTTTATCTCATACTAGATACGAGTCTATCCGTGAGAATTATGTTAAATATGTGTCAAACTAGTAGTCATAAGCATATCTACTTAGATGTTTTATGGCTACCCTGAAGCAAAGTAAAAGGTCTAAAACATTACGTACAACAAAGCGTACGTAGTTTTAGACGACACAAAGATTCATTCGAAGTGCAAAGAAAGTTTTCTTGCTCACACGAATAATAAAAAGCGGTTAACAGCAATGTTGATTACAATGTTTTTTATCACCAGGAATGATAAGCAAAGAAGTGAAGGAAGCCGAGTATACTGCGTTAATTAACTTAGCTTTGTCCTTAGATCAAGGAAATAAGACAATGATTGATGTAGGTGATGATGTAGTAGATCATTTATGAAATTGAGAGCTCTCTGCAAGTATCCAAAATGTGTCCTTTTTTAAACAGAAGAAAGATAAAGTGTTTTACCCACATATTCCTTTTTTCTGCTGTAAGTAAAAAATTACCGATAACTTTGTTTTCTCACAATGAATGAATGGTTGCGAAACCGCAGCATTGACAAAGGACGGAATATAGAATAGTTGACAGACCAAAAACACTAATCTTGCTGACTATAAAATTATTCCAATTCTCCACTATTCGGTTCCAGTGCAAAGAACGTGCCTTTACTCAGATAATTGACATGTGTGTGCTAAATCTGCCTTCAGTTACAAGGCAAATACTGATGCACTACCATCTGCAGTACAGCAACACTTTTTAAGAGTTTGTCCATCAACTAATCGATCAACCAATCAACCAACACGTTAGGGAGTTTTAGCGCCAGTCATAAGGTAACGATGTTGCGTATTAACATTCACATGACTGACCTTGACGTCGTAATTCTTACTTTGGGCCGAGGGTTCGACTTTATACCTTTATAAATAGTGTACGCGTATACGTGTCTCTACGGCCACCGTACAAACGGCAAAATGATCCCTGAGATATCCTCTACATTATTAAGAAAAGTTGATTCCAAATTCCAGACCGCATACTCATCGCCGAGGGTCACAAAATCTAAAACTCAGTGCACAATGTAAATTTGTTATCTTCTTGACTCATAACGTGGTTTTAAAGTCTCATAGCCCATACTCTTTGATACATTATACAACGGCGTACATAACGCAGTTGCTAAAACTCTTCTGAAGTTTGTTCATGACGACCGTCACGTAATCAATTGAATTTAAGAATGCCTCCTCATAGTGCAGTCGATAAGGGGCCAAAAGGTGAGGAAGAATGCTTTATTGTTTTTAAACTGCCCGAATTTTGTTTTTATTTGGCAACGAAAATTTTTCCGAAGTACTTTGAGGTGGAAAACTTAGGATTTTCTTCATACTAACAATATAAACAAAATAAAAAATCTGCCTATTGCCTGATTGCAGCTAAAGGGGAAGCTGGCCACGTGGCAGGCGGTGGGTGCACCCCTGGTGAAGCGCTACTCGTGGGCGCAGCTGAGGAACAGCTCGTACGCGCAGTCGGCGGCGGCGGCGGAGTGCGGCGTGGCGCAGGCGTGCGTCGTGCGTGGCTACTTCGAGCTCACGCCGCACGCCCCGCACGTGGCGGTGGCGTGGGTGCAACGGGGCGTGCCGGCCGTGGGCTTCCTCTTGCGCGTGTACTCGCCCGCCGGCGTCGTCGTGCGCCTCAGGACCCTGCCCGACCCGGTCTAGTCGCGCACGCCCCCTCGCGGACGGCGGCGGCTAAAAGGCGCTCGACCAGCTCCTGGCGTATACTATACGAAATACACTAGTTTCTCATCAATGACTTCAATTCAGTCATATAGCATTAAAATTAATACTTTTATTACCATTTGCTACGTGCAGTTTTTAAATTAAAACCTTTTGCTGGTTTTCCAGAGTCCTGTTTTCTCAACACATGATTCTACTCTGTTCACATACGAAATATTTTAGTTTTGGCCTAGCCTTGATACCTGTGAATTACGTTTGCCCTGATGGAACAATTTCTTTATTTGTATTCTCATGGTCATCACTCTCGTTGTCTTTCTCTCTGAAAGACCCTTTTACACCAATCACGATTTCTAGCCAGGTGATAATTACTTATTATATTCTTGAGTTCCAGTCGGAGTCTTCTCGCTCGACAAACTTGCCATAGATCAGCTGAAACAATATCCTCATTGGTACGTTCTTTCGGACAAATGACACAAAACAAACTCACGAGACATTCAACCTCCAATTCTGAATGTTATTGGAATTGGCGGTCCTGAAAAAATGTTCCTGGATATTTCATTTCAAGTGATCACTGGAGATTAAAAAGGCATTTATCTATAAGAATCTTCTTTAACGTAATGTACGTGAATCTGGACCGGCGAGTTGAGATTACTAAACCTACTAACCGAAAATGCATTGTAGTATACCAGTTCAGTGTATCCAGAGTAGAGAGTACAACAAAACTGGGGCAGTGGTTGCAGTTAATCCTCTACCACGCTATGTCGTCTTATAACCTTCTTGCACGGGTGAACGAACCCTATGTCTAGGGATGTTCCTCTCCACAGAACGCCATGTTGACGCGGAGGGTCGCTTCAAAATGAAAAGTCGAGTGAGAAGATCAAAGAGCTGGTCCGGGGCACCGATGTTTGCTCATTATGCGGAGCAGCAGGTACGTCACGAACCACGTTAACACAACATGGGCTCTTCTTTGAAAAGCCAGGCAGACGCTGGCCGCCATGCTGCATGGCAAGCGAAATATGTTGAGAAACATTTTGAATGTGGCATAACATGATAATTTGTCCGACGGTGACCAACCAAAAGTAACATTATGAATATATAGTTGAAATAAAAGATGAAATAGTTTTTAAAAAATCTTCATATATTTCTTTCAATGACTTGTAACAAACTGTTTTTGTTATATTGCTGCATTTACAATTCCCGCTAATATTTTGACGCAAACTGGTGCATAAAGCTCGTTGGCTAAAGCCGGATAGGCTGCGCAATAGCTAACCCTAGATAGGCTGCGCAATGAGTTTTCGTCATTACTCGCCTTAGCGACGCAATACTTTCCATAGCATTTTCCATTTTTAAGATACTTTCATGTTCATCCACTGTTTACACAAATAGGCAGATCTTGAGAAGACCAAATCAGCAATACTATATGTTTATTGGTATTTGAGGAATAATTAACAGAACAAAAGGATACGAAACTGGAGTCGTACGAAGAGGAGGAACCCTGGAAACCTCGTGCCGGACAGCTCATAGGTCTCCAAGCCGCAAGGCGCAGAGCAATGCAACCGAGTTCATCAGTGGAATTTCTCTTGCTAGAAACGTCTTGGCGAACTGATCGTATGTTTCAATCATTCTAAGTACTGAATTCACTTTTCGCCCAAAATAATCAGTGTCACGAAAATCACCGGGTGTTCTTTATTCTTATCTCTCATCATGCAGATTAAAACGATATTGAAAAGGTTCATGGCGTGAAATATGTTGTAGTGCAAGAAATATAGTCCACAAGAAACACTACGACACAACATAAAAAATTAGGAATCAAATTGCACGCTGAGCCCGTTGCCTCTGCTTTCTACGGCTTTAGTCAGCCTCTGAAAAGAAGCAAAAACACAAAAATACTTCTCTGCTTCACAGAAAAAATTGCGTTACTGCAAAGCAAAAATATAAAATCAATTGAGTTGCAACTTATTTAGTAAAAGATAAAGACATGAAGTATTTGTTAATTTGAGACTTTCGAGAAATTGTGGCATAATTACACAGAATTAGAGCATTCAAGTTCAAATATTCAAAGCAGTCTGGAAACATACTGAAAGCACTTTTCCTATTTGTACTAAAAGTACAAAAATTAGAAACCAAATTAAGAACGGCACAGTACGTGGTATGTTCTCATAATAGTCAATTAAATATGTATATCATACGGACAAATGAAACAGATCACGAATAAAATATTTTAGGAGCAAACGTGACATTCCGTATCACTACAGCATTCTACACTCGCCCTCTCAGCCTCGATCGGGAACCCCCCAGTGGTCATTTCCGGAAACACCCAATTTGTGGTCTTTTAATGTAAATTACTTTTAAATAAAACAATCCAACATTCTCCACTATGTGATCCTTATTTTGCCTTAAACAGTTAACAAAACTTTATTGAAATAACTTGTAATGAAATTACGTTATTGAAACAACTCAAATGGATCGCAAATTTCTACGTCACTTGTCGATAAAAACTACACGTTGGGTCACAATTATCTGTTCTACACTCGCTAAATCCGCATTGGCGAGTGGAGATTGACTCCGCATGTGTCAAAAGTATTGCGATTAGAAGTGTTCATACTTGATGATGCAGTGTGTAGAGGTCACAAAATGCTTTTGTCATATCATCCCGTAGCATTTTGAACCGGCGAACAGTAGACGTCGTGGAAACATTTAGAAATCCAGCAGCACCGTGAACTTTCGAAATATGACGTTGAATTTTAAAACTTTTTAGTGTTTATGTGAGCAGTTCATTAATCAAAAACCAACTTGTAGTATTGCTGATTTTCTCCTCAAAAGATCTATATATTCGTGTAAAAACTATAGTGTTACGTTTAAGAAAACAAAGTTGGTTCAATCTCTTTAAAATAATAAATTGTATCAAAAAGGTAATAACTACAACTGATTAGCCCATCCTTTCTAAATAACGATCGTTTCCTAAAATAAATCGAGTATATTCGAGTTGAGTTTGGTATTTCGAAGGTAATATACAACGACCTTAAATTTGAAATTATGGAATAAAATCTTAGTAACTAGAAAGCGTTTAGAGGTTATTTGAACAGAAGTCACTGCGTAAGACTACAAAAATTTGCTTCCGGTTAGAATGAGGTGGTGTTTGAACTGAGTGCATTAAGTGAAATATTTCATAATTGATGTCTTGTTAACATGCGTAATTATAGACTTAATTTCAAATAAATGAATGTTATTAGGAAATATTGTTCTTCTCTTCATTTGCGTGTTACCGGACCTGTACGTCGTTACTTTCTCGAAATCAACAAGATCATGTGGATACTTTAATGACATTTTTATAACTATTATTCTTACCTATATTAGAATAACCTATTATATATATATATATATATATATATATATATATATATATATATATATATATATATAATAGATATATTTATATATATATACAGAGAGAGAGAGAGAGAGAGAGAGAGAGAGAGAGAGAGAGAGAGAGAGAGAGAGAGAGAGAATATTTGTATCCACCTCTTCTGGACACATGTAAATAATTTTATCCGGAAATCACAGCAATTTACTACTAAACATCACAAATAAATTAAACAAACCTCCAAAAGTCACCCTAATATTTTTGTAAACTCCGAAAGTTATGTATCTTATTATGTATATTGAGTATTCTATGATAGATATGTTAGAACTTAGAATTGTTATATCCGTGAAATCTCACGGAAACATTGTCCAGGGTTCACCAAGGAAGGTGAAGAAATTATGATATTGTAAATCATAGCGAGAAACAAAAGCGAAATAGTCTTCCACCAAACATAAATGTTGCAAACAAACGAGATTTCAGAACACACAATAGAATAGCATTTTGTCACGTATAATGAGGATGACATTCCCTTGAGAGATAGTAGAACAGCGCGCGGAGAATTGTTCTTGGTTGTCGGGATAGCGCCGAGGAGAGCTTCGGTTTCTCTTTACTTGCTCGTCCATACTTCGTAAGAAGAGAAAGTATGGTAATCGTGCGCCGAAAAACATAAGAACTCCTATTGTCGGACCCTTTTAACGAAAATAATGATAAATTTTCTCCTTTAATATAGTAAATCATGATGTTAAATAGTGAAATACTTACTCTAACACGTTTTGTAATCAGAACCCATGATTTGTGGGTCCTTGATGCTGAAAAATCTATCGACGACTGAACGTTTTTCAATATGTCGTTCCGTCTGTCTGACCGATCGTGGCAGTCTCTGTCTGTTCATCACAGGTCAACGCTAGCACATAAATGGTTCAGCCAATTATCACCAATATTTCTATATTAAAGGAAAATTCTTAAATTTTGTGTATACTACTGCTTCAGAATGATATAAAATGTCACAGTATTTATTCATTTAAAGTTGAAGAACACAGAAACAGCCTTGGGAAATAACAAACTATCCCATTCTCTATCGTTCAAACGTGAACGTATTTCCAATCCTAGAGGAGAATTCCTGAATGTTGTGCGGATACTACCGTTTCAGAATAATTAGAATTTCTTTGGTTTTTATTCGTTTAATTTAATTTAATTAATTTAACACGTAATCAGTTATTTGTCTTTGAAAGTATCATAAAAAATTCAATCCTCTATTGTTCACACGTGAACATATTTTCATTCCTATAGGCCATTTCTTGAATGTTGTCTGTATACTACTGTTTCAGAACAATTAGACATTTGTTAGTTTTTATTCGTTTAAAGTTGAACACAGAAATAATCATTTGCCTTTTGAGATATCATTAAAGATAAAAATTCATCGTTCACAACCCTAGATGAGTATACTTGAATATTGTGTGTATCCAACTGTTTCAGGTCAATTTGAATTTAGTTAAGTATTATTCGTTTAATGTGGAAATAACCCAGAAACAGTTATTTGCCTTTGGATATATCATAAAAGACAAAAATTCTATATTGCTCATATGTGAAAATATTTCCAATCCTAGAAAAAAATTCTTGAATGTTGTGTATATACTACTGTTTCAGAACAATTAGAATCCGAGACCGATTGAAATGAACTCGAGGCCGTCTGAGTTACATTTTCGGGATAATTTACATGATGTCTCAACATTTTCAATATTGTGTCAGAAATGGTTCCAAATTTTTGATTTTATTATGCCCTCGGATTGCGTAAAGAATGCTTAAGGAAATATCACAAGTGTCAATTTGATTAAAATCCTTGATTTTTCGAAAATTGCTAATGTTCTAATTTTTCATCGTCTTCTACAACTACAATATTGAAGATAAAATATTTATATGAATTGAATTTCTTTCGCAAAGACAGATCTTGAAATAAGGTAATTGTCATTTTTTCGAAAATATGAGTAATTTTCCCCGTAATTTTGTGGTAAATATAGTCAATGTTCACATTTTAATTTTTTTTTTTAAACAGCTTAATTTTTTTCTTCTTATGAATCGAAG